GAGATGCACGGACAACAGACACCGTGCGAGCTGTTTACTGGTAGCGCTTTGCACCACCTCCTGGGCCTGATGAGTCACTGGCCATGCCGGGATGCCGGAATGCTCAGGCCCCTCCCTTAACCTGGTCGGCCAGCTGGGCCCTGGGCCTGGCAGGGCAGTTCCCCAGGCAGGCAAGCCCAAACAGTGCTTCCTGTTCCCGGCAGGAGACCACGGTCAGGTCCAAGGCATCAGAAGCAGACATGGCCCGGGGTGGTGCTGGGTGAGCCCCAGCGCCTGGTGAGACCAGCTGCTGCCTGCGAGTGGGTTTGTGGGTTTGCCCCTTCCCGTGACCCGCTCAGCGTCTGAGGCCAGGGTTGCGATGAGCTGTCGTATTTTGATGGGGCTTTAAACGACAGCTGCTTATTTAGAAGGTGTTGCTTTGGAATATTTTTAAAGTTTAAACTTGCTCTATATAAGCATGTATTTCTTAATGAGATTTGAATTATAACCTAATCGATAGAATGAATATTCTTTAGGGGCCAAGACTACTTGAAAACAATTGTTACACAGACACTTAAGAACATTCCCGGTTAAGTGATTCATTACTGGGATTCCTACTGGTCGCCGTGGTGATGCCGACGTTTTGTACTTTGGTGGGTCTGTGACCTGGCAGCTCTTTGGTCCCCTGGCAGCAGTCAGATCGCGTGCCTCGTTCCTGTTTCCGTGGACAGAACGAGAGTCTTAAAGCGCCGGGTCGGGCAGGTAAAGAAGGCAGCGGGCCTGTGTGTAAGCCGCCTGACATAGAGGAGCCCACGTTACCGAACGTGACCTGAAGCTTTGAACCTCACGGTGCACAGCCTCCTGCTGTGGAGGGAATGGCTTTCTCCTGAAAGCTCACGGCACCCAAGAGAAGAACCTTCCGGAAGGCCCCCCGCTGCCCAAGCAGCTAAGGCCTGTGCCGGGCTCGCTTCGTCTCAGAAGAGCCCAGCGGGGAAACATCTGTTTCCATTCACCAAAGACCTACACACCGCGATCCAAGAGCAGAGATGGGCGAGGGCGCCGCCTCCTCTAGAGGCAGGGAAGGACACTGAGGAGGTGACACTCAGCTAAGACCAGAGGACACTGAGTCAGACCTGCCAGGGCGGAGGCACATGCCCCAGGCAGAGGGGAGACCCTGCCCCGCCCTCCGAGGAGCTGGACCTGTTGCAGGAACCGGAGGATGGATGTGCCTGAGGGTAACGCAGCCAAGACCATGTGCGGGATGAGTTTGAAGGGACGGCCGGATCATAAGAACTTGGGAGCGAAGTTGGCGGAGGAGACACAGTGACGTGCGGTCCCACAAGGGCACCCTCGGCTCCCAGGGGGAGCGCAGACGGGCAGGGAGGGGAGAGAGAAACCCACCGAGCCTCCGGGGCCTGGCGATTCCGGCGGGAGTGCGGGAAAGGGCGGCGCGGGGTGTGTCTGAAGGTGGAGGGAAGCAGCTGTGGCCGCTGGAGCTGCTGGGAGAGGCGGGAGCGAGGGGTGAGGGAAGATGGCGAGGTCCTAGGCAAAGGTGAGGAAGACCCTGGAGAACAGGGTGGGGCTTGGGAGAAAGCAGTCTTCCCTCCTGGACTGCAAGCCTCGGCCTCTTGGTCAGAAGGATAACTCAGCTCTCCACCTGCTCCGCCTTCCCACAGCGGGGGAGGGGGGCGCTGGTTCCAGGACGCTGCTGCCCGGCCTAAGCGACGCCCAGGCTGGTACAGGGTGTGTCGGGGCAGCGACAACAGGCTTGCAAGTGCAGCTAGGACTTATCTTGATGCTGCGCTTTATAAATATTCACTTTTTTTCACTCGGATGGGGTGGGCTCAAGATCCTGAGAGGGAGGGCTGGAGAGGCCCAGCGCCGCCCCCTGGTGGTGTCCCTCAGTGAGAAATGAGGGACCAGAGACAGTGCTCCGGAACACAGGTATTTTCCTTTTGTTGTCCATCTGCCCCGTTGTTTCAGGCGTGGCTTATCTTCCCAAATGCGGCGTTAGTTGCGGTTCTCAACCTGTGGGTCGCGACCCTTTCACAGGGGTCACCTAAGACCATCGGAAAACACATATATAATGACATATTGTTTTTGTGATGAATCACTGTGCTTTGATTATGGTCAATTTGTAACAATGACATTGGGGGTCACCACAACATGAGGAACTGTGTTAAAGGGCTGCGGTGTTAGGAAGGTGGAAAACTACTTCCTAAACTTCAGGAAGAAAGTAATTAAAGACGTCGACGTGAAGCCAAGAGTGAGGCAGTCGGAGCGGCCCAAGGTCATTTAACTCGCCCTTTCCCCAGGCCCTCCCTTGGGTGACTGACGAGTTCCGGCAGCCCGTCTCCCAGCCGATTGCCAGAGTGGGACCAGCCCTGGGTCTGCAGACTTGACGCTTATGGGGTTTTAATGACTCGGTTAATAGGGGTCTTGCCTAAAAGTAATTGAAAACGAAGTGTGGAAACGGGATGGGAAAGACCGGCTTGGGGTTAATTTCCAGCGGCTCCTTCGTGTTGTCCTTAGATCTGTGTTTAATCCTTAAAAGCAATGAAGAAGGATCCTTCCTTGTAAGCAGTGTTCCGATGCCGCATTCAGCTACACTTGTAAAATGCGAAAACCCCTCAGTAACAACAGGCAGCATGCAAACACCAGCCTTAAATGTTAGATGATATCGGCATAACGATATATATAACATGTTTTTAATAAACTAGTGGTCACAGTGTAATTGTAGATGTATAACTGTAGCACTTGGCAATACCATATCCATAGTGATCTCCAATATCTTTGAGACAATGAAATAACTTGAGTATCAGGTAAAATCTGATTGAAATTAATTTTGAAGTTAAAAGGGACCTTTAAAACCCCCACTTATTAATCTTGTCCTTTTATTTATTTTTTATTTTTTCAATATATTTTTATTGACTTCAGAGAAGAAGGGAGAAGGAGAGAGAGATAGAAACATCAGTGATAAGAGAGAATCATGGATCGGCGGCCTCCTGCACACCCCACCCTGGGGATCTAGCTTGAAACCCAGGCTTGTACCCTTGCCTGGAACTGAACCTGGGACCCTTCAGTCTGCAGGCCAATGCTCTATCCATTGAGCAACACCGGCCAGGGCATCTTGTCCTTTTAAATAGTTAATAGCAGCGAGTGATTTAGTAAGTATTTATCCAAAATGGTGTTTATTAGACTGTGAAAGAATTTCCTAAGGTAAATGGTGTTTGAATTATTTAAGATTTAAATTGATACAAGTACTAATATTTAAGAATATGTAGAAAGGAATATATTTAGTTATTCCCCAAGCATAGATTACTGAAATATTTTCCACCTCAAAGTGCATAATTCACATGTGTGACACATTTCTGACATAGTTTTACAAAGCCTTCCTGATCTACCTCCTGTTGGCTTTTCCAGCCTTCTCTCTCTCTCTCTCTCCAAGCCCACCCGCCTCCAGGCTCAGGCCCCTGCCTGGAACTCCTCGCCCTCTGCCTGTCCTGCTGCGGGTATTACCTCCTGCTGTAGGCTGCCCCGCCCCCCTAGATCCCAGGTGGCCTCACTGGTTCTTGGGGGGCGTGTGCTCAGTTTTCCTGGGACGGCCCCACCACCCTCCACGGTCAGTGCCCCCAGAACAGTGTCTGGAACACGAGGTGCTGTGAGCGCCGCGCCCAAAGACAGTGAGCACTGCAGAACTGGAAACGTACACATTGAGCCATGACATAACGCGGAAGAAACAAAGTCCCTGTTTTTCAGCTAAGAAATAAATAAATAAGAAATAAAGTCCCTTCCATTCATTTCTCCTCGACAGAGAACCGACACAGCCCGCCATCCGTTTGACAGGAGACAAACACTTGAGTCTGGGTGTTCGTCTTCTCTCAATAGCTCCGTGAAACGTTGAGGCCGGCACACGGCAGGCAGGACACCGGGTCAAACCAACTGCAGCAGCTGTAACTCCCAACTGTAACCTTCCTCCTCCGCAAATGAGTTCAAAAGCAAGTTGTAAAAATCTTGTTGGAAACTAATGACCTGAAGAAAATGCCAGCATTTCTCCCAGGGATTGGGTTTGTCTAAGTACTTCCGCTGCTGAAACTGTAGCTCAGTGGTTGAGCGTGGACCTAGGAACCAGGAGGTCACGGTTCGATTCCCGGTCAGGGCACAGGCCCTGGTTGCGGCCGGATCCCCAGTGTGGGGTGTGCAGGAGGCAGCCGATCCACGATTCTCTCTCATCATGGATGTTTCTCTCTCTCTCTCCCTCTCCCTTCCTCTCTGAAATCAATAAAAATATATAAAAACTGCACAGAAAAGCGGTTTTGAGGGTCAAAGCTACAAAGGCTCAAGATCTTTAAGATTGTTGAAGTCTCTACAGAAAACACTGGTCTTGTTTCAGGAACGAAAGGAACAATA